AAAAAAAAAAAACATACTGAATAAAACCTACCAGGTATATGATGGACGATTATAAATTCCACATAAAACAGTTGACTCCCTGAAAGCAGGAGCTTTTTTTTTTGAGTATAAATTTTTTTCTTATACAATTAATAAATATGAATAACCTAAGGAAAAAACAAAACAATCCTGCCAAAAAGAACTTTTTTTTTTTGTCAACGTACTGATGAATTAAACCCTGATGCAGATAGGACGTGTCTGTAGATCATACATGACAAAATGTTTAGCTGAGTTGATATTTTCAGTTTGAGGAGACATGAGTATAGACATTTTCACTCTTACCCAGAAAACATCAGACAGACCACATCTGTACACCTTGTTTGCCTTTGCCATTGCTGATGGCAACTATTCACAGCACTACAGCAAAGATGCCTGAATGACATGCTGCAGTCTGTGCATGAAGCCTGTTCACTCTGTTGTTTGTTGATAAATTAGGTCATGTAGAGTTAACAGTTAAAACCACTGCCCTTCTAATTTGGGCTTGCCAGTTTAGGACAAAAGTATGTACCAACATGTTGTGCTTTGTGAAACAAAACATACCAGACTTATCAAAGTGATCATCAAGGAATTTTGTCCATAACAGTAATTAAACTAAAAAAAAATGAAAATATTTCTCTCCATTTACCCTGATGTGGAAAATTACTGCTACCAAAAAAACATAGAATTAAAAGGGTATCATTGTGGTTTAATCCAAAGGATCTCATTGCAGACACTGAGCTGCATCCTAATGCAGAGCAATGCAAATGTGCCATATGATCCACATCTGCAGATAAAGGGCATATTTACTGGCTACATCCAATGGCCACAAATCTGCTTTGGGCATGGCTGAAGAGGTCAAAGCCTCCGCCTGACACACAAACACATACAGTCATGCTTTTTATAGGAAGCATAAAAAAGTTTAGCTTTTCTGCAAGATTCTTATATTCAATGTGGGAATGTAGACAAGCTGCATAATTTCATCAAGTAAGAACATTTTAGCAATGTGTCCAATAGAATGTCATGTCAAATTTCAGTAAAATGTTGAAAAACAAACAAAAAAAACACACACACACACACAAAAAAAAGGAACTAAACCTGCTTCCATTCATTGGAACAAATTAGCCAGCTGATGCAAAAATGTACATCATACACTCATGTAACTGTCACTACCCGATCTGTCCCGGAAGCACAATCTGTATCATGAGCAAAGAGCTATTTTGTAATCTTTTGGATTAATTGTTGACACACTAACAAGGTAATTTTTGACAGTTTGAAAGGTCTGGAAAAATGTCACCACAAAACCACAGCACAACAAAAACAAAAAGTAGCCTGTTTTTATAAATCCACTTATACCCAATTTGCCCTGAAGGCACAGAGGTTCTTCTTTAAAAAACAAAAAAAAAACAAAAAAAAAAAGCTGCACCTCTTGAATTTTGAGAAAGAACATGTATAAACAATATTTTCAATGATTCCACAGATGCACTG